AGGTTGAAGATAACTGGGACAGATTTCTTGTTACATTTATTATAGGAGAAAATGTGGGCCAGTTTATATTAAAGGGAAGCAGAGGGGAAATAGGCACTGGAGATGAATTAAAAAGAAGAAAGAGCTGAAGGTTTCTCTTTAAGACCTATTGCCTAAAACTGAGTAGCTGTTGATTCAGGGAAGTTGATTCAAAAATTGTAAGAGGAATTTGCATATGTAAGATACTGCTGAATGTTTATAATTACTTTGTAAAACATAACGCAACAGAATCCCCGTTATATAAATCTGCTCAAATGTTGTGTTCTTGTATATACCCCCTTTGAGGCAATTTCATTTAAATTCTAATCTTGCTGATACTTTTAAACATTTTGGTAGTTGTTTTATTGTTCTGGAAGGGATTGTAAAATATGTAATATATTCAAAGCTGCTTGGTTTTAAACCCTAGAACTTAATAATAAACATAAAATAATATCTACCCTAAGGAGCGATATCATGAAATAAATCAACTGAACAGACATTTGTTGGGCTACCCTAACCTACTGAAAACCCTCAATGCTATTTATCACATGGCTGTGATAGCTGTACTTTACATGACTAGAATGAATGTGCAGAATGTTTATAGTTTATCTTGTAATACATGTTTGAATCAATATAATAGCACTACAGCTTTTTACATAGATTTTTAATTAGGATTCTCCTAGCTTAAACGTAACTGCACTATGGTAACTGTCAGATTAATTTAATTCCAATTTCTGTTATCATTTGTCCTTTCCTATGTTGCATAACATTTCCAATAGAACAAAATGAAATAAAACTGATGGAAAAGAGCAGACTCCAAGTAGACTGATGGAAAAGAGTAAACTTCAAGATGTTTTCTTAAGAGGCAATTGGATTTTTTTTTGTTTTTCTTGGAAGACATTTGGCTTCTCATCCAAGAAGCTTCTTCAGCTCTGACTGTATGGTTGGGAAATGGGAGCTGAAGAAGCTCCTCGAATAAGAAGCCAAACGTCTTCCAAGAAAAACAAGAAAATCCAGTTGCCTCTTGGAAAAAGCACCTTTGGGACAACCATGACCTGGATGACTGAGAATTTCCATAGCTACTCCTTTATGCTACAGAATTATAGATAAGGAGCGATATAACAGGGGTGGCTGGACATATAGAGTTCTGCGGTCATCATAGTAAATGCCAAGAGATTATGAATTAATTTCTGAAAGCCATTGTTGAGAATAGGGGCAGTGGATTTAATCTAAGTTTTTTAAAATCAAGAATTATGGATTATTCCTAATTATACCTTTAACACACAAAATAAAAAAGCAGCTGTTAGGGCACTGAAACATAGTTTTATCATTTTTTTTTGGTCTGGGAAGGTTCAGTAGTTGCTGATTGGAAGGCTTTTCTATGCTGAACTTCTAACTCTACTGAGAGTTTGCACATATGCACATACATCTTTATTCAGTTTCATACTTATTTATACTTCTGTGATGCTTGCTTGTTTTCTTTTAATTATATTTTAATGTTAACAAAGAGCAGAAACTCTGCTTCCTTAAATGATGTTTCACATACACATAAATAGCACAAATGATGTATCTGGAAATCGATGTCCATAATTGCTTATGCACAGGGGCCAGATAAAAATACATACTGGATTGACTAGTAATATTTTCACTTTATCATCTGCACACTAGGCTTCTCTTTTCAATTGGTTCATTGAGAATGCATGATATTACAAAAAATTAAATAGTGGCAGCTGACCATCCTTTTTTCCCCTAAATCCACCTGATGCATGCATGCACACATACACACAGAATCTAGAGAATGATTTAGTACAATTAAATATTAATATATTCAAAACAAAAAATAACCTTGTAAATATCATTTTAAGAAGCAGGGAAATGGCAATTGCCTTAGCTGGCCATTTAGATTAAGTAACCCTTGTGCACAAATATTTTGTGTACTCTATTTACAGCACAATCCCATACTAAGCATCTACTCAAATTATCACTGAAATAAATAGTAAATTTAGTCCACAGTAAATGGTTGTAGGATTGTTACTTAAATGTCTACAGTCTAATGACTAGGAGTAGTGGATAGCAGATTTGAGATGGAAATTGTTCTTAATTGATCTGCACATATGTAACCTTACAGAATACATTTGTTTACTATTGCTAATGTTAACATACCTACCATGTTTCTCCAACAATACGGCCTCCACCAATAGGAAGGCCCAGCATGATTTCTAGGCATGAGGTGAAATTAAGCCCGCCCCCAAAATTTAGGCCTATTCAAACCATGCTTTTCCCCGCCATTTCTCACATCGTTCGTTAGAACTACACAAGGTGAAGAGAAATGGGCGGGGGAAGGGCGGGGGGGATGGGGAGAAAACTTGCCTTTAGGAGTGCCCTGCAGGTAGCCTAGGCTAGAATACCCCAATAGCCGATAGAAGCTCCCTGAAGGCAGAGTCCCCAGCACTTCAGGGCGTGGTGTGGCTACCCGTGTCCCCTCGCCTTTGGGGCGGTCTCTTTCGGGCGATAGAAGCTCCCCAAGTGCAGTCACCAGCCACTTCAATCGGCCGGTAGAAGCGGCCTCGGGGCGAGCGCACACACACACTCCCCTTACCGTGAGGCTGCTTCTTTCGGCAGACGAAAGCTCCCTTTAAGGCACAGTCCCCAGCCACTTTGGGGCGAGGCGTGGCTGCCCGTGTCCCCTCGTCTTTAGGCAGTCTCTTTCGGGCGATGGAAGCTCCCCAAATGTAGTCACCAGCCACTTCGATCGGCCGGTAGAAGCGGCCTCGGAGCGAGCACACACACACACTTCCCTCGCCATGAGGCCGCTTCTACCGGCCAATTGAAGTGGCTGGTGACTGCATTTGGGGAGCTTCCATCACCCGAAAGAGACTGCCTAAAGGCTAGGGGACATGGGCAGCCACGCCTTGCCCTGAAGCAGCTGGGGACTCTGCTTTCAAGAGAGCTTTCATCTGCTGAAAGAAGCAGCCTCGCGGCGAGGGGAGTGTGTGTGTGTGCGCTCGCCCCGAGGCCACTTCTACCGGCCAATCGAAGTGGCTGGTGACTGCATTTGGGGAGCTTCCATCGCCTAAAAGAGACTGCCTAAAGGCGAGGGGACATGGGCAGCCATGCCACGCCCTGAAGCGGCTGGGGATTCTGCCATCGGGGAGCTTTCGTCGGCCGATAGAAGCGGCCTCGCAGCGACATACGTGCATATGGGCCGCTCTAGGTGGGGGAGGAAATTAAGTCACCCCCCAAAAGACGGCCTAGCCGTTTTTTCAGGGGTCAAAAAAAAAATAAGGCCCGGCCTTATTTTGTGAGAAACACGGTAGTATTTTATGGAGCTTTGGTAGTGCAGTGGTTAGAGTGCAGTACTGCAAGCTACTCCTACTGCAATTTGGCAGATCGAATCCCACCAGGCTCAAGGTTAACTCAGCCTCCCATCCTTCTGAGATGGGTAAAATGAGGACCCAAATTGTTGGGGGCAATATGCTGACTCTGTAAACCGCTTTGAGAGGGTTGTAAAGCACTATAAAGTGGTATATAAGTCTAAGTGCTATTGCTATTGCTATTTTAGCTGGCATATAAAATAATTGAGTGGCAATATAAATCTTAAACTACCTAAATCTGGCAAACTAACTGATTTATTTTCCAGGATAATGATTATATTAATCCATGGAAAATTTAGAGATTCATTAGAGTTATTATAATAGTACAATGTAAGCTTTATGTGTATTTAATTGATAAATGCTGTATCTATTACTGAAAGGAGAATTTACCATTTCCCCCTCACAATCTTTTTGATTTTGTCATTTTTGCCCATTTATTCATTTTATCTCTTATGTTTTGTAAAAGGATCTTAAGGTTCTGCCCAACCAATGATCATTTTATTAATATTTTAAAGCCTGGAATACTATGGTTGCTCAGTCATTGGTAAGGGCTTATAGAATAATCGGCTTTTCCCCTCTTAATTCCAGCAGCCCCTCCCACTTCTTCCTCTCTACTAGTTTCAGTGATGTCATAATATCCAAGGTTAGTGTTCTGAAGAGACAGGGATATTCATCCTATTTCTTTTAGGTTCTTATTGCTTGAAACCTCAAATTCAGGTTTCAAATTGAAGGTAATATCATTTGCACTGTTTCTAGGGTATTTGTATTGGCTTTCTAGCTTTATCTATGAACAATTTGGTCTCTTCAAATTTTTATCTGTGCTATCTTTTTCCTCATTGCTGCCATTTCTTCAGACCATTTTCTTCCATTCAAATTGTATTCCTATTTTCATAAACTGCCTTTTATATAATCTCGTTACCTCCAATATTCACCTAATGTGCTTTTCAATACAATTATTTATTTTGTCTGTGAACCTTCCTTACAGGCATATTGTAGCAAGTTACTAATACTGAAATAATACTAATGGATAGATTTTGAGAACAACCATTTTACTTTATTTTATTTTATAGGCATAATATAGCAAGCTACTAGTATGAAATAATACTAAAAGGTTCGTTTTGAGAACAAGAACCAATGCCTACTTGGATAAGAAACTTTATACTACTACTTCAGAACATGAAAAAAAATGATTACAAAATGAAGAAAATATATCTGACAAAAATGTGCCTGGGACACATTTTTACATAGAAAAAATGGGATTGTGTATTGAGATATTGGAAGATAGTAATGATTTCCAGTTTTTAGATGTAAAAGTTCTCCATAAAAAGAAAAAAATATTGAAACTTGATATCTGGGGTCACTATTGAAATTGTTCCTGGATGGTTACTAAATGTAGCATATATTTCATTTGCTATAAACAAAAGTGAAATATGTATCTGTTATACTGAAATAAAATGTATAGGAAAAAAGAAGTATTAGAAAAAAATTATGATTTTAGCTATGCAGACTGGTCCTATGGGGTATTTTTTAAAGTTACTGACACACTGAGATTTTTTATGTTCATAACTATAGTAATTTAAAAAAAACATTTTCTTTTTTGATCTGCAGTTGATAGATAGTATGACACCATTGCGTCCCTATGAGCGCTTTGATACACTTCGCCAGTTTCTAGAACATGAGGGACATGTTTTACGTTTTTATGGTGTTTGGGATGACACTGAAACAATGTTTGGGGACATTCGAGAAGTGGTGCTACATTATTTTTTGGCTGATGATACGATTGAAATAAAAGAAGTGATACCTATAAATTCTGGCCGGGACGCTGTACCTCTATTCCTCAATAGACAGAAACTACCAAAGGTAAATGCGTATGTGAAAAATATGGTTTGATATTTGGCAAGGTTGGAACGCATTTATACATTTATTTCATTTGCTGTCCATTTCAATGAAATAACATATGTAGTTAGATGGACATAAAATGTAGCTTTTACGTGAAACAGACGTTTAGTACCTTATAAAATTTCAGATGCAGGTAGTTTTTGACTTATAATTGGGACAGGAATCTTGATGGTTGAGTGAAGTGGTCTTTAAGTAAGACATGACATGACCACTTTGCTGAACAACTGTAATTCTGGCATTCACAGTTATAATTGTTAAGTGATCTCATGGGTCATTAAGTGAATGAAATCCCAACTAAATAGCATTGGTTGCTTCAGAGAGAGTGGGAAAAACACTTGGACGCCAAATGTAGGCTGAGGATAAGATGGGGTCTTGCAGCACATGCAATTAAGCCATGGCCTGGGAGGCCTCAGCTGGCTTCAGACAGAGCCTATCAGCTTACATAAACATTTTTACATATTTGCGTAGATTTACATAGGCAGGTGGAGGGAGTTGCCGTGCCCCAATGGTTGTAAGTGTGGCTGAGCTGCCAAGCTCCTGAATTTTGAGCACATGATCATGAGGACACTGCAACAGCTGTGACTTCAGGCATGGGTTGTAATTCCATTCAGTTAGCACCAGTGTAATTTCAGTTGCTGAATGAATAGTCATACATCGAGCACTCTTTGTACTAGATAATCCTGGCTGCTCTCTTTAGTTAGTCTGGCAATTACATATATTAATAGCCTGTGTCTTTTTTACCTGAACCCCAGTTTGCTCCAGTTGGAATATATCAGCCTGGTACAATTACAGATCGGACAGTCTTGAATGTGTTTGGAGGGCTAGTTGGAAATAAAGGTCGTTATATTCTGGATAATCGTAAGGTAAGCTATTATAGACAATTATAATTTACAAAGTTCACTATATTTAAATTGTCTTTCTATGACTGTTATTTGAGTAAGCAGATTGGGTGAAAATGTGAATTGGTAGAAGATGTATACAGTAGGTCACAAACGTTTCTGACCACAACCAAATCAGGTTCCGACCCAAAAATTCACAAAATTTTTGAATCTGGTCACAAACAAATACTTGGGTGGCAGTCAAACATGACCCTTGACCCAGAAATTCCTGAAGATGAAACATTAGAAGACGAAGAAATCGCCAAAGTTATGGAACAAATTATGGTCATGACCAGAGGTTCTACTGTAATGTAATACAAACATATAATCTCATTCAAAAAGATATTTCTCAAACTGAAGCTTCTCAAGAATTTTTTCAAAATAAAATAACTTATAATCATCAGTGTATATATTTCCCTCTTTCTCCTCTCCCCCCTCTCCAATTATTAGACAGGAGCTGTGTATCAGGAATTTTATAAAGACTGTGACCTGAGAATAGGAGCAACAATCAATGTTTGGGGACGAAAAATAATTCTCTGTGATTGTGATGAATTTTCCAAAGAATATTATAAGACAAAGTATGGAGTCAGTAAGTAAAAATACCAATATTTTAATTTTAAATTGTGTATTTGTCAAGGTTGGTTTTTTAATCCATTGAGAACATTATTGTAGTGCACGTTTTAGCAACAACATCTGTATAGGAGCTTAACCAATTAGAGATGAATGCTTTTATCAATATCCTTTAAGGCAAAGATTCTGCCATATCTGGATTTCATGTATTTTTACCTCTAGTTATATCCCCCAGAAATTGTCAAAGGTTGCTACCAAATTAAAACTTGTAATGGAGAAAAATATGAATGGAGAATAATCATATTTAATATTAAATTAAAAATAAACAAAATGAAATCTTAGACTAGGGATGTCAAACTCAATTTCATTGAGGGCTGTATCAGCATTATGGTTGCCCTCAAAAGGCCAGTTGCATGTAAGACTATGACGACCAGTGGTAGTATTCAGCCAGTTCGCACCACTTCGGTCAAACTGGTAGCAAGGATTTGGTGTGGGTCGCCGAACCGGTAGTAACTTCTGGCTGGCCATGCCCCTGACCTGGTCATCCAGTCATTGCTCATTTGCCCCGCCTGCCCGATCTCGCTCATCCTGCTCTCCTGATGCTAGCCCGCCCAGTCATTCCTTAAGGTATTTCTTTTTTTCCCCCACCCGACAGTCAGCTGTTCCTACGATCAGCTGTGCCAGGATTCCCCTCACTTACTTATTACTTCGCCCAGGAGGCTTCCCTGAGGCCCAGGAAGACAAAACTTAGTTTTCTGCCTTCCTGAGCCCTAGGGGAGCCTTCTGGGAGCAAAATTCCCCCCTTACAGGAGCCTTGCTTGAGGCCCAGAAGGTCCAAAAACTGGGGGGGGGGAGTGCTTCAAAACAAAAAGCCACGCCAACATAGTCACATGGCCACGCCCCCTAGCCACGTCTCCTAGCCATGCCCACAGAACAGATAGTAAATTTTTTTGAATCCCACCACTGATGACGACTCACAGCAGCCAGATGGGCGTGGCTGGGTAGGCGTGCTTGTGTGATCACAGCCGAGTTGCCACAACTTGGTGGGCATGGCTGGGTATGGCCAGCTCAATGCTGCTCACTGGACACAGCTGACTCGGGACAGCTAGATTGGGACAGAACAAGTTGTACTGGCTAACTTGATGTGGGGACAGTTTGGTGCCCCACAAGCTCCTTGCCTCCCTAAACTGCTGGCAGCCAAGTGCATGTGTGCGTGCTGACACCCACCCACACCCCGCATTCTCCCCAAGCCCAGGCATGATTGGCAGTTTGCAAGCTCAGATGTGGATAAAAGTCTCCAGATTTGGAATGGTGTGTGTGTGTGTGTATGCGTGCACACACACACACACACACAAAACACGCTAAAGAAGACGTTTTTCTCCCAATCCCAGACATCATTGGAGTTTCCCTGTTCAGTGCTCCCTCCCAGCAAAGCAGGAGGTGTAGGATGATACTGCTATGTGTGGAAGCACAGGAGAAAGTTTGCAGGAAGCAGTTTCCTCTGTCCAACTTCTGTCTTGACAGATCTCTGGAGAGCAAGAGGAGGAGGCAGGGGAGCAGCACTCCCCAGTCCTGCATGAGAGAGGCTGGCCCTTCTCGAAAGGGAATCCCCATTTCCAATCGTGTGGTAAGAATGCTGCTCCCCCACCACCCCTCCTCCTCTTCAGAGATCTGTCACGCAGAAGTTGGATTCGGAGGAAACTGCTCCCTGCAAACCTTCTTCTCTGCACTTCCACACTCAGCAGTGTCATCCTCCGTCTCCTGTGGGAGGCCAGTGAAAGCTGGGAGAGAGGATCCGGAGGTCTCCAGTGGAGGAAGGCGAGACCAGAGTGAGCACCAAAGCCTTGTTCACCAAAGGAGCCTCGCTGTCCCTCTCAGGCCACGCAGAGTGGGTCTCCTTGCATGGATGGCAGCGCGGGCTGATCGGAGCTCTGCAACAGAGGGCAAGCGACCAGCTTGGCCCTCGAGCTCCTGGGGCACTGGGATCTTGCAGCCCAGCCCCACTTCTTCTTTGGCATGTCCAGCCGCACTTACCCCTTCCTTTAGGCTGCTGATGCTGTGCTCTCTCTCCTTGGCCAGGTTGCTCATGGTGGATGCAGGAGAGCAAAGTGCATGGGTCAGAGGGATTCCCGCTCCCTCTCCATGCGAGGAGATCCAGCCTTGTAAGCAAAGCATCCTCAGCGATAGAATGGGAGAACACCAGGACAGATCAAGAGAAGGGGACAAGGGAACGGCAAAAGGGCAGCTGGGCTGCTGGTGGCCAAGTCCTAATGCAGGACTTTCTTCAGACCTTCCTCCCTCTCATTCCAATCTCCCTCCCCCCTCCCCAGAAAGGCATGAAGGGAGGGGCAGTGGGTGGCAGCGCTGCCAGTGGCCACAGTTTTACTACACGGGGGTGGGGGTGGGCTGCGAGGCCAGCTTGCAACACTGCACCAGCAAGCGAGCCATGGAGACAGCTGGTGGCAGGCGCTGCACCATTGCTGGCCCCGTGCTGATCTACATCAACTTTGTTGCAGCCCACCTGGGCCTTAGATCTAGCCCGTGGGGCCACCCTGGCTGCTAGCCCCCATGCAGTTGCCGCCTGCTGGGCTGGGGCCAGGCTGGGGCCAAGGCGGCAGGGGCTGGTCCCTTGCTGTCTCCAGGCGGCCCCGCAGACCAAATCTAACCACATTGTGGGCCGGATCTGGCCTGTGGGCCTTGTGTTTGACATGTCTGCTTTAGATCAATGGGCAGCCCATAGGCTCTGTGTGGCCCCTATACTTCCTTTGGAGCAGTCTATTGAAATGATTTACTATGGCAAAGTTTTTGATGTTTTTTATGGTTGAAGATTTGCAGTATACATATCAAGCTATTTAATACTGAAACTTGCAAATATGTTCAAAAATAAAGTCCTGGTCATAACATGACCAGGCTCTCCCCATGAGTGCTTTAATTAATTAAGTAAATAAATGCAGCTTCTAAGGAGAAAACAGTTTTGAGTGGTGTTCTGCTCCAAAGATGGACTTGAATTTTGACTCCTACTATTTTATTCTTCAGATGAAGTAAGAATTAACCAGCCTTTTTTAACTGATTCACTTTTTTGTTTATTCAATGCTAGACAAACTGGTGTCTGAATATCAGATTATATCAGATTGTAATAAAACTTGGTGATGGGAACTCTATTGGAGAAACAACAGCCATTGCAAAACCTAAGTTCGAGTCCTTTAAGTTTGAAATGATTTCTCTTGGAGAGTTAAATGTGAATTTAAATAGCCTGCTGCATTGAGCATTATTATCTATACCAGTAAGCTATTTGTTTGAGCCTGATCATCTCTGCATTTTTTTATTTCTACTGGGCACTCAACAACCGAAAACAATGTGTTAATTATGAGAAAGATTTATTTTCACATCCTACCCAGCAGCAATGCTTCTGAGAGAATGAGAAAAGCAACAGAAGCAATTGCTTCTTATTTATTAGAATCTGCAGACTAGAGCAACAAAAATACCCAAGTAAATGAGTAAAATAAATGCATTTGAGAGATTAACACAATGTATTGCTTTCAGCTTTCAGTTTCAAGCTGAGCTTGTTGTCTGCAGTTGCTAGTGCGAGGGAAGTAGAAGAACTGGCTTTCCATTTTTACTATTGTTCTCTTGGAAGAACCATTTAAATGTAGTTCCTGTTAGCCCAGCTTCAAGAAGTGCACTAGGTGGCACTGTTGGTATGCAAGGAAGATCTTAATCAGCCATCTATTTGTTATGCAAGTCCTGAAATTTAGATCCAGGAAGAAGATAACTGCACATTAGAAAAGTGTTTGTCCTCAAGGAAAATATCCCATTTATTGTTTGAAATATGTTATGTTATGTTTATACCTCTTGGTATAAACAACATAATGCAAAGAAAACAAAAAGCAGTAAGCAAAAGAAATTGAAGTCAGGAGACAAGAAAAGAGAAAAAAGAGCTCTTAACTTTTAATTTATATAAATCCAGTTCAGTATAACTTCACATCTTTCAGTCTTGGGAAGCTATTCTTTCTTTCACTATGTTCATTTACTGATTCATGCATTGTCTTTTGTTTGTCAGATTTCTAACCTCTCTCAGTCTACATCAGCTCTATTTAATCACAATTTTCTTGGCCTTCTCCTTCCTTTCAACCCACTCATTTGTTTTGTGATTTAATCTTTATTTATTCTCTTTACTTGACCAAACCATGTGATGTACTTCTTTTGTACTGGGTACTAATTTTTATATTCAACCTTTTCTCACTCTTTTGGATATCTTTACTAATTACATTTTTAATATATCCATACTTAATGTTACTCAACTATAGAATCCCCAGATACTTGGAGGTTTCATCCTGATGGCTCCTAATGGTTCGATTTCAATTTCTAATTTTCCATAAAACTTCAGATCATCCACCTAAAGCAGATGTGAGAATTTATTATAACTTTTTGCTGATTTGTATTCAAGATTCGATTTTTTTTTCAAAATCACTGAAAGTGGGATCGCATCAATGACAAATAATAAAGGTAATAATGAGTCACCCTGGAAGATGCCTTTCCTAATGTTGACAAACCCATATTTTTCATTTCTATTCACCAGTTCTGCCTTCCACTGCTTCATCATTTTTTATACAGACATTCTAATGTTTCTACTGACACCAGTTGTTTGCAAACATTTGATAACCCTATATAATAATCAAATGCCTTGTTATAATCAATCCAGACCATATGAAAATTTGCTTTTTGCCTTTTGAAATTCCCCAAAACAATTTTATCAGTCAGAATTTGATCTTTTGTGTCTCAGCTTTTCCTTTTATTTCCTTTCTTTTCTATTGGAAGGATGTTATTTTCTTCTAAATTTTCTTCTTTCATTTTGCCTGCCATCATGCTGGTGAGTAATTTAAACATTGTTGGCAAGCATATTGTTGGCTCGTAGTTTCCTAGCATGTCGTTGGCCTGTAGTTTCCTTTCACTGGGTTGTTTTGAATCAAATTAGGCTTTGCCAATTATCGCAATAGTTTATTAGACTGTTTAACTATAGTTTGCTAGTCAACTATTTGAGCCAAAAGCTATGCAATTGATAATTTCCAGGAATTATCTAATTTTTAATCATTTTCACCTGATTTTTAACAATTTCTGCTCATATTATTGGCTCTTCCATTTAATTTGTAGTAAATTTATTTTCAAATTCTTTTATCCAACTTGCATTCTTTTTGAGTTTCCCATATGTCTTTCCAAAATGATTGTTTCCTTTTTAATTGGTTTTCTGCTTCCAGAATTTCTGTTGCCATTTATACTTCAGTAGAATCACTTCTGGTCTGATTGAAATTGGTGATTTTAGACTTCCAGTGTGATGTTGTAATGTGATCGGCGCAGGGGAAAGGGGCTCTGCATCCCCACGCCGAATCCTCTTTGTTGGAGGAGTTCCAAGGGGCTAAAGTCACCGTGTAGGGGTGACAGATAAGGAAAGACACCTGCTGGTCATGAAGAGCAGTGGCTCTCCTGCTGGACCCAGGGTTTTTCCCTCTTTGCCAAGGACGAAGACGAGGCAACCAAAATGGCCACCACAAAGCTGGGGCAGCTGACAAAACTAAGATTGTGCAGGAGCAGAATCAAGTGGACAGTGACTGGTGCTGGGTGAGGAGACTTTTGAATTTTGTCTAGGATTTACCCTAAAAGAAAATTAATCCTGAAAAAGAGGCTCTCTGGAGTGCTTTCTAGCGGCGACTAAAGAGAGGCAGAGAAACACAGCACCCTGACAGGAAATCACTAAAAGCTGAAAATATAGAAAGACTGGATGTTTAAATCTTACTGGCAAGACCTAGAATAGGCATTTTAAAATGCTGGACATTTGACTGGCTTTTGGATATTTTGTTTGAAACAGTTTGAAATAATAAAGTGGCTTTTTAATGGTGATTTTCCACTTTTAAAGTGGATTTTTAATGGTGATTTTCAACCTGAAGGTGCCATCTACTGGTGAATGATATATTCCATGTTATACTCCAAGCATGATAGCAGCCTGGGAACCCTGATAAGAAAGAGTGACACCTGGAGATCTGCTATATTATTTACTGCTCTATACTTACCTACTTTATGGTGACCAGATGATCAACCTTGAAAACCTGGAGGATAATTAGTGGAATGACTTTTGTATATTGGAACTATCTAGCAAATTAAAAGGTGGATCTAAGAATTATTGGGAAAATCCCCTGGATTGTATAAATGGAATTCATTGACTAACTGTGTGATATAAAGAACTATAACTACTGTAATCCCTGATGGACAATACTAAGATTAAAAATCTGCTGGCTTTGGGAAGTCAAAAAGAATAGACTCTGGAGTGGTGACATTGATAGAATATTGAATATTACTTGGACTTTTTAAAACAAGGCAAGATGGCCCATCAGGAAGAATTGGAAACAGAAAGAGAAATTATGATGTTACTCCGAAACATTTATGACAGGATGATGAGGAATTCCAGGGAGATAAAGGACTTATTGCATGAAATAACTGGAAAGACTGAAAATGAGCAACAAAGAACAATGAAGCAAGATAATCAAACCCAGGAAACAAGGGAGATAACTGTAAGCTTAGAAGATGAGATAGAGCAGACGACACACCAAATAGAACAATGAGAAAAGGAGGAGAGACTTCAAAGTTTGGTGAAATAAAATTGGGAGAATATATATTAGGAGATAGAAAAATGGAAATGGAAAAATTGAAAGATATTTTTGGAAAAAAGAGGATTTGGCAGACCTATGGGTGGAGGGGCAGTGAAAAATAGTGGGGTTGGAAATTATGGTTGGGTTGAATAGGAAAGATGTAGATAAGGACCCAAGGGAGGAGTATGGAAGGCAAGTCAAAAAGAGAAGAAGTGGAATTTCCAAGAGAATGAGAGACGATGAATAGGAAGGATTTTTATTAAAAAACAATTGGCTGTATTAAAAATTAGAATAGGGAAAAAAAATAATAGGGGAATATTGTTATACATATTTTTACTTAATATATTTAAAATTAATGTTAGAGGATAAGATCAGATTTTGAAAGAGGATCTTTGCTCAATAATTATGCTATTACTATTAGACGGATGTAGCAAACACTGAATAATTGAAAAAGGAAGGATTGTGTGTTAATACTGATATGTATAATTACATTAGATTATGTAAGTTTCAATAATGTGGTAATTTTTATCGGTATTGTTGTGGCTCCGGGTTTGGATTCTGCTCCTGTGGCAGATATGAGTTCAAGTGATGAGGACATGGCAGCAAAATATGAGCCGGCATTGCTTAGTGATTGGAATAGTAACCAGGATGAGGAGATGGATGTAACAAGGGAAGACAGACCTGAAGTATTAGAGTTGTCAGGACCTTCGACCTCCTCTGGTTCTTTATCTGATCAGCAGCCGGGAATGGCTGACAGGGAAGGCATAAGAGAGTTTTCCAGTGGAGATGAGAATCTGGAAAACTTATGGTTAGACGTCAGGAACAGAAGGAGGCTAAGGAGACAAATCCAGTTAGAAAGAAAGAGGAGAGCGAGTAACTAATTAGGCAAATTAGCACGCTTCCTAAGTGAATAAAAGGACACGGCTGGGCTGGTGGAATTCGCCAGAAGCAAAGTGACTAATTGGGAGTGAAGACATTGCAGCCGAAGCTCTGAGGCTTGTGATTTACTGCCACGACAGAATTGCCAACAGAGTAAGGATTTATGACTGTGTATTGGGACTCACGCCAGCCGTTCTCTTGTGGGACTTTGTTTTGGTTTGAATTAGTTTTGAAACGGCTGCTTTTCGTTTTGCTCGCCTGCAATTAAAGGGGAGACATAACAGGTATCAATACTATTTTTATACCAAAATGAATGATACTCAGACCCTACACTGTCCATGAAATGATATGTTTAAAAAGAAAAAAACCTTTACATTAAAAAAATGAAATAGGTGATTTTATTTCAGTTGGATGATCTATCCATCAGTGTTCCCCACTATTGTTGTTTGCTGCTTTATGATTTCTAAAAAATTGATTTCTTCCATTTTTCTTGTGCTAAGACAATATTTTTTATTAGACTTATCTTGTTCCTTACATTCTTCAGGTTTTACTCTTTCATATTCTTTAAATTACTCACATCTGATCTTAATTTCTTTATTTTGATCTCCACTCTGATCTTCCACTTTGGGATTGCATGTGATTTTACTTTTGATATTCAAGTTTTCTATAATTACCACTGCTGTAATGTAGGCAAACTGATTGGTCTGTTTGATACATATTATTTTAATCTTTGCAAGGGTCTTATTCACATCCTTCATTATAGGTGCCAGATCTTTTGGGGGCATTACTTTCAATGCAGATAATTTTGTCTTTTTACTGATAATTCTGCATATGTCATACTGTTCTTTTTTAATACTTGTTTTCTAGGGGAGTGGATCAATTCATAGGTTGGTTCTGATATTTTACATAATACAGATATTGTTATTATAAGTAGTGATAGTAGTTTTGTTAGTAGCAAAACTGCCCGACTCCCAGTAACTCTTTACAAATGTATAGCTATAATATAATAGGTCCTTGGTGCTCTCTGAACTTGATTGTTTTCTTGCAGACGTTTTGTTGCCCAAACTAGATAACATCATCAATGCTAGTAGGATGATGTCCATCTTCTAGAATAATGTATGGTTATTGTTAGTAATGTATAAGTTTTTCCTGTCTATAAAAAATAGCAATAGCACTTAGACTTAAATACTGTTTCATAGTGCTTTTTAGCCCTCTCTTAGCAGTCTAAAAAGTCAGCATATTGCCCCCAACAATCTGGGTCCTCATTTTACTTACCAGGTAAAAGAACAGGAAGCAAAGGGAACTATCAATGGTGATCTGTAGGAAAAAGTTTTGCAAAAATTCCTGTTTAGAGAAATGTCTTATTCTTAAAACATATACTTATCCCATGATTATTTTATTTCAATAGATGTATGGTATATATAAAATCTAAGAGCTAATATTCTAGAACTAATCTGAAATATGTTGATTTGCTACTTGTGTTTCACAGAGGATTTTACTCCAGTTCCATACAAGACAGCACCTTCTCTGAAAATAGAAAGAATGATTCCTCCATACAGTGGTTTTGGATCTGAAGAAGACTCTCTTTGCTCTTGCCTTAGCTTACTTCCTAAACCTCCCCAAAAGGACTTCAGGAAATTCATGGAAAAAGACAGGTATCTGAATAAAAGCGATATTCAGAACCCTTTTTCTCCATTTGAATGAGAGACAGGAAGAGATAGTCATTTTTTTCATAATTACAAATGGGCAATTGTAGCAGTCATATTTCTGTCTGATAGATAACAAATCGTATTAACAAAGTTTTTATTTCCTAATATTGATCTCCTAATATATTTTCATTAATCTCAAATATGAACCATCATGATCCATTTATCTTTTCTGGCCTCTACACTCTAATCATTTATATATCCTATATCATGCTCTATTTTGCAATGTAGTCTGGGATTTACAAAACCATTTTTGAAATTAGGACATCTGGATCATTGTATACTGCATGGATAAGTTTTGTGAATTAATGGAGAAAGCCTTGCTATGGAATTTCCCCACAGATTTGAATTCTTTCTTTATAGAGGACAATTACAAATCAGTATGATTCATGACCATCTCCCCAAAACTTCAGTATCTTGGCTTCTCTAGGAAGCATTCTTAATAATTGGGTATGAGAGTGCGCTTAGTGCATTTGAATAGCATATGAAAGACTGGAAGCTTCCTAGGAATATTTTTTGAGCAATCAAACGCCTCTTTTCAAAGATATTTATATTATGTAACTATCCCTAAACTCTGAAGGGCTCTAATTTTAGCACACTGCAATGCACTTCTCATAGTAGTTTTGGAGGGTCAAGATTGAATTACTATAAATCCTGACTATGGGATGTTTACAAATTGAAATTATCTGTTTCCCCAGGAAAAGAGAAAATTTATTTATTTTTATTTATTTATTTATTTATTTGATTTGCCAATTGTTTACAAGATAATAAGTATAAGTGTATACATAGTTGTGAAATGAAAAATGTGAAAAATGAAACAATTTTGAAAATATTTTCTTCTGCTTTTTCAGACAAGGCCTTGAAAGTAATATTTTGCGGTTCCTTGCACAATATATTACTTCTGATCCCATCGCTAAAGATCGGAAGTTCATTATTTCTTATTTTCTAAGTGATGACACAATATCAGTGTTTGAACCTCCCCAAAGAAATACAGGTAAAAAAGTAATTCTATTACAAGCAACTCTGATAAAGAACAGGATAGAGATTGTCCTTACAACTGTTATTGGGATTGAATTTCTGTCACTAAGTGATGCATCACTTAGCAAAAGCAAACCTTGCAATCCTTGTTTTCTTTGTTAACTGAATCTCATAGTTGTTATAGTGGATATAAAAGTCTACACATCCCTCTTAAAATGTCAGTTTTTGAGATGTAAAAAAAAAATCAGACCAAGAAATCACTTCAGATTTTTTCCACCTTTAATATAATGTATAAGCTGTACAATTTAATTAAAAAACAAACTGAAAACATTTAGGGGTGGGGGGAATAAAAAACTTTACAATAATATGGTTGTATAAGTGTGGACACCCTCTTATAAATAGGAATGTTTTTGGTGGTATGTGAGCTCTTATTATTTGGTCATATCTGTTTTCATGGTTTTTTGGGAATGAAATTTTATCATATGTATATACAGATATATAGGTAAATGTTTTCAAGTTAAAGATGTCAAAGTTATATTACATCATTTATTTTAAAAACATGGAATCTGACAATGGAGGGGAAATACTGATTATATCAGGCATGAGAAATAGTCAAGAGAATTATACTCAATGACTGGAAATGTATTATCAAAGGCTGGTTTTAAGAAATCTGTAACATTAATATTTTAAAAGGCTGTTTTTTCTACTAATTAAAAAAAATGACACAATGCATTGCATTGGCATAGATTTCATAATATCTTACAAACACATATATAGTATGTATAATCTCACACATTGTTATTAAATTTAATGTTAATTTTCCATTTTTTATTGTATTTTCTTTTTCTTTTATTTTTGTTTAGATATTATAACTTCATATATTTATTGAATATGTGTATTGATTTCTATTTTTTTTTTACTTTGCAATAAAATTATAAAATAAAATTAAAATCATCTGAGTTAATATTTTCCTAACTGCTTATGAATCCAGCCTGGTGTAATTCTAGTTTCTCCCAAAGGGATGGTATGATTCTCAGTCGCTCATGAAAACTTCTAAAAATTGTGAGTTTGATCATTGTGGTGAAATAAAAGAAGAATGTTGTTTGATTATGTTAACATCGTGAATATAGGAGGAAATCTGGGGCAAGGAGGAAATGAATGTTAATGATTATTACTTGGGCTTGGCTATGGAGAATTCAGTGTGAGTGAGTGAAATGTATGAGTCTTGTTTCATTTTAATGTGTATTTTATGACTTATATTCAAAAGATCTAGTGTGCTCATGGTTTTCTCATTATAGGAGTAATTGGTGGGAAATTTTTGGAAAGAAGTCGCATTAAAAAGCCTGGGCAAGAGTTTTATAAAAGTGAGCCATCTGAATACTACACAGCTAAGGACCTGTTTGTTGGAGCCAAAGTGTGTTTCCATGGCCATGTCCTTCTTTTGGTGGATGCTGATGAATATGCTTTCAACTACATGGAGAAGCATGCAGATGAGGCAAGCTATGTTTGCTAATGCTTATTTGTCTTCGAAGGCATATGTGCTTTTATTATTTTGCCTAAATTAGGATGACTCTAAAGATCTTTCTTTATGTGTTGAGGATCAAAACAGCCATCATTGTTTGATTTTGCAAAAAAATAATATGCTCTATGAGTAATACATGCTACATTGTGAGTTTGATAAATGCCATGGGGTTTATTTTGTGCCTGAGGACTGAAGTTTGCAGACTGATTTTTCATAATGTTCTAATCCTACCTTTGTTTTAAGAAAGGAATAATAATAGTAACAAAAAGGGAACTACTTGATAAGTCCTATATTATACAAATTTATTTTCCCATACAAAATACAAAGGAGCTAACGCCAATCAAATGAAATCCCTAAGAATATTTGATCATTTTTATGACTGCTTGTTTGCTATAGTATTCATATAATCTGACAAACTGTCTTGCTTTTATAGTAATATTGCCTGGATATGTTTCGCTGTCTTAATTCTTCACAGAACAAGCCAAGAGTTATAAAAATACTAAGTTTCTAAAATACCTTCTCCCGAATACTTGGGGGGGAAGGTGGGCTTCAAGATGTTTTTTTATTTTTGAAGTGGTTTGCCATTGCCTCCTTTCTAGTGTTGACAAGAGTGGCTGGCCCAAAATTACCCAGCTGGTTTCATGCCTAAGGCGGGATTAGAACCAATACTCTTTCAGTTTCTAGCCTGATGCCTTAACCTCTCCATTAAATTGGATCTCCACTAATACTATTGTCCATGCTAAAACTCAGGAAAGAGCAGTGGTGAGATACAAATTGAAACTGCTTGCTTTCCATATAAGGAAAGTGGGAGAGTACGTGTACAGTTTATTGGCACATGACTCTCTGAAGTAAATCCTGGCATTCTGAATTACGTAGGACAGAACCGACTGGCTGTCAGGGTACTGATGGATACCCTAATTAATTCACGAGCCTCAAGCTAAGGTTAAAAAGAAATCCAATTATTTATTAGGAGCAACATGTTGTCACTTTTCCCAAAAAGGGGTCTTTTGCAGTGGGCTCTGCCCTACGTAATTTACTGCCCACCTATGATTCTGTTTCCCCCCCCTCCTCTCAGGGTGTGTCATAAATCACATTCTCCAATGAAACACTTTCACGGGCTGTAGAAAACATGCCTCTCTGGCTGGCTCTGTTAATCTGGGACACAATCTGGAGAAAGGTATGCATGGAATGTACTTCTGGTCTTGCAACTGAACTGCTCCATCACATCTCCCCCCCTTATGGCAACTCGAGAGCAAGCCAGGAATGCTTTACAAGTTGACACATTCTTCATAAGTGGTAATTTGGAATTTAATTTAATGGATATATGTCATAAGGAAAAAATAACTTGATGTCATTAGAATTCAGTCTTGCACTATATTAGGTTAAAGGATATAGCAAAATCAATGTTGAATCTCTCTCATCTTTTTTTCTAGTATGCTATGGCCAATATCAACGTAATCCTGAACAAATTGAAAGTTATAGGAGAACCTCGGTCAAGAGAGATTAAACAGATTTTTGCAGCCGCTGATCCTCAGAACACTTACATGATTGATTATGATGAGTTCAGGTAGGATTCTAAACATCCAAGCAAATAGAAATTTATTTCATTTAAATTTTAATACAGCATATGTGAATTGGGCTGAGAGAGTATTTGACCCAAACTCACCCAGCTGACTTTCATGATTGAGGCAGGACTTGAACTAACTCGTGGTCTCCCGGTTTCTAGCTGGGTGTCTTAACCACTAGACTAGCTAATCAGGCTTTTCCCATTGACTTTGCTTGTTGGAAGTCGGCTGGGAAAGTTACAAATGGTGATTACAGGATCTTGGCACAGTGCATTTGTCATAAATACATGCCAGTTGAGTTGAAAAGTGCCTGAATTTTAATAACATAACTATGGGGACAGTGCAACAATTAAATATGTGACAACCAATCATATATCACTTTTTTCAGTGCCGTTGTAACTTCAGATGGACACTAAATGAATGGTTGTAAATCAAGGATTACCTGTATAGAATTGTATTCCAAGGGAATCAGAGATTTATCAGAAGATACTTGATGAATCTATATTGATTATGCTGCTATAGTGAAATAAAGTGTGAAAGTCATGTGTGAATATTATTGCAACTGTGAGGGTTCCTTTTTATTGGAAAGTCATACTGTTCTTGAGCAAATGTGCAAAATAAATCTTTATAAAATAGTTGTCTCCTGTTAAGAGTTAAAACAATCTTATTTACAAATCAATACCTTTCAGCAAGACACAGTGCAAACATTTTATCACTATTGGAATACAACTTCTAATGTAGGAATGCAGCTTCAGTTATTGAAGTTGACCATTGTTTGGTTTATCATTCCTTACCACTGCAGAGTTTTAAGAAAACTAGAACTTTGCTTCATCCCTTTTCCTTAGAAGTAGACAGAATAATTTTGGAGACAATACCATCTCCCAAACACCCTGATTCAGATATTTTGTTGTTTATGATTCAAAGAAAAATCATTTGAAGTGATCCAGAGAAAATAAAAGTTTAAAAAACTGTTCCTGTCCTCAAATGTGCACAATCTAAATATCAGTAAATAATATATAGTTTAGGATTCCAAATTTAATTGCGCAAGTTTTAAGTGTCATTCTTGGTTTATTAAACTTGCATCTTTATCTTTATTTGCATATTACAATTCCATATATCTTATCAATATTCTGAAAAGCAATCCTAAACTGAGTAGGTAAAAGTTCAGAAATTGACATATTGCCTTGATAATTTTTGCATCTTATTATTTTATGACACTCATGGTGAAAAACAAGCAGTATAATGTGCAGCAAAAAATAGTCAATACTAATTTCAGCAGTATTTCATTTTAAGTAATTTTGGATCGGATTAATGCCTGATTTGACAGTCAAAACTTTCTAGAATGCTTTGCAGGATGGCAGTTTATGGACTATAATATTCTTTTAAATGGTTTCTCAGTTGGGTTGAGCTTTAGGAATGGAGTATTGTAGCTACTTTAATCCTATCTGGAAGATCTATCTCAAAAATTCTGGGATTTTTGCTGGGCCCTGTGACCTTTAGTTGTACAATACTTATCTTCTGTGCTATTTAATATCTGTGTTAAACCACTGGAAATGATCTATAAAGTTTTTGCTACAGTGCTATTAATTTGAAGAGTTCAAATGGCTGTGCCCCTCTTTTTCAATCTATAAATTCTAGGAAACTGAAAAAGTGGTGGTAGTTAGGGGATAGATATAGTTGAAAGACTAAAGTTTAATTAGGACAAAGAAGTGTTTCAAATAAGGAATTATTGATTTGGAGAGGGATTCAGTTACTATTGGATGGAGTAATACAATTTGGATCTTCCATCAGTTTAGGCTTATACTTCAACTGTGACTTTAGTTAAGAGAAATGGAATTCATCTCAGTAATATAGCCTGTATACATATTTTTTATTCAAAAAGTTCAGTTTATACAAAATTTAGAATTTTGTAAATTTATTTTTATTGGAGCTGAACAGTCAGATTGTATTACACTAATTCAGGACCAGATGCATCAGTCGACAGTACATTACAAGGCACTATTGAAATACTAGTACTTTCTTAAAAGCGCTGAAATTATTGGACTGAGGTTAGTTAAAAGTCCACACAAAAATCTGCTTATGTTATTTGTTTACTTTCATGTTTATTAAAATCAATAGAGTTGAGAGGGGTAGCAGTAAAATAAGCGTTATCCAATAGAATTTCTTTCCTTTAGGTATACAGATGTCACTATCAGTGATTGCTTATAACAGCTTTTAAAGCATAGTTGCTCTCTGTGTTTTGAGGTCTGAATGTTTTCTCAAAGAAAATTAATCAGTGTGCTCCCTATCTGAATGAAAAGCCATTGTGAGAAATTTAGTCCAGTAATATATTAGTAATAAATATTTTTAAGCAAAATACTGCACGCTCTCTCATTGTGCATTTTAAGCTAAAAACAGTTTTTTTAAATTACCAATTCTAATCCAATTTGTATTTGGGAAATTAAGTTATAAGAACTAAAATGAATAAATATATAATAAGTAAGCAAGCAAGCAAACAAACAAACAAATAAATGAGAATATATGTAGGTTACTGTTGAAGCTTGGTGTTCAAACAAACCAGCCATCAATCCATGTTTGCACATCATTCATAAGAGATGGTAAAAAATCTAAGGCAAAAGATCACAAAAGGCATATTCACTCAGCAGCCAACACCCAAATTAAAAGGATGAACACCAGACAAGCAATTAAGCAGCAAACAATACCCTAAAGAAACTAAATTGAAGAATACCTAAACTCCATCAACACTGTCAGGGCAAGTATGCTGTACATATATAGGGAGCAAGCCCTACACACAGTAACACTGATGATGTTACCTAGTCAGGTAATGAAATTTCTGCAAGCAAACAACAAACCTCTTAGAACAGCTAGGATGCTACAAATAAACAAACAAATACTTTTTGTATTGCTACGTGCTTCCTTCTTTATAGAAAACCAAACATGATACTTTTTACACAATAGTCATAAAATATGTTTTAAGTGCCATGGGGGGGGGGGGTGGCTCACATGGTAAGACGCTGGGCTTGCTCACCGCTGAGGTCGGCAGCTCATCAGTTCTATTCCCGTGAGCGAATATATTGCGCAGGGACAAGAAAGGAGCCTCCCCCAGCATTCAGGCATCCTATGGGTAAAGATAACACTGCCCAATAAAATCCCTTTCACAGAGGCAGCCAGCCACCTCGGTGATCCCTGGCTAACACGTGCCATATGCTAAATAAATAAATAAAGTGCCATTGTGATACACATAATATAGACATTTTCCACTCCATTATAGAAATAGATATTCTTTCATTTCTGCTGGCATTAGAAAGAGCTGTATTTTATTGCTGGATGATACACACCTAACATTCTGTATATTATACATATACTATTCTAGAAATGCCATTGGATGGATGGATGGATTAATGTTTTATTTTACTTTTCTTTTTTAGAAATGTGTTATTGAATATCTCAGATGGAAAATTATCAGAACATGAAATTATGACTATTGGGCGATATTACAGTGTAAGAGAGGAGAATGAAATGGATGCCACTTATCTTCTGGCAGTGTCCCAGGAAAATCTCAAGAAAAATAACTTTGAAAATTTTGGCCAGCTGTTGGCAGCCTTGGCATACAGTGATCGGGAAAAGTAAGACCTTCTTTCAATATCAAATCTGCATGGTTAATTCTTATTAACCCCAATCTAATAAAATAGGAGCTGTCTTTCCCTCATGTCAAGTCAATGTGTGTTGTGGAAAGTTTAAGTCTTCTACTCTATGTTGGATTGGGCGGATGAGGAAGGAGCGGACCCAGGATAGCGAGGAAATGTAGCGTCATGCATATTTAACACTCTATATCTCAGAGGATTGACATTGGAAATAGTTTTCTCCATGTCAGCCTTCCTGACATGGGAGAAATGAACAGAAATCACTCTCATTCCTGCCACCCTTCCCATTTAAATTGGGCATCATGGATTACAAAGAACTAATAGGGAAACTCTCAGAAGCACAGTTACAGTGGAATAATCACCCTTCCTTCATAACTATACTTCATCACTCAGCCTAAGTGATTAGAGAACAATTGTCAATGGCAACCCTTTGGGTATATAAGACACATGTATGCATAGTATAAGACCTTCATAACTGTAATCCATTTGGATTTATCAATACACTGATTTAGATAACTGAAGGGTTTTTTTTAAACTTTATATTGAACCAAAGCAAAAGTTGAGACTATGAAGGTACTCCTCCCCCAACAAATACATCATATAAGTGATGATATATTATTTGCTAATGCCTGACTTGGGGATGGGAAGATGGGAGGAGTCTTGGCAGGAGATTGTTGGTGGGGGAGCCAAGTAACTGCTTGGTGAACATCAATTTTCTCTAGGGCTCAAAACCTTTAAAGACAGAGGATCAAAAGAAATAGCTGGCACATTTGAACAAGTTTTCCTTTTCCTTTTCCATCCTTTTTCCATTCCTTTCTAGCACAATTCTAAGCATTCTTTTAAACTGTGCTTAATGATTGCTCTTAATTCCAATTTTAAAATTAAAAAAAAGTCATTACTTTTGTTTGCGCAGATGTGGACTGCTGGCCAGTGACAAGTGCAGGACTGTTTGCAAATCCTTCAGGCTACCATTAGCAGATGATCTTCTACGTGCTTTACTGGCTGCGTAAGTCATACTTCCAATGTAATAATTAATATGAATAAGAGTTAAGGAATTTTTTTTCTTCTTCTGAAAGCCACATTCCTTTTCTGGTAATGTACCAGAGGCTGTTTCAGGACCATCTCTTTTCTTTCTATCTGTCCATCAACCTCTTCTTCCTCTCTGTTGCCTATTGGGATCAGGACACAGGGCTAAACTACTTGATTGGAGAATATTTTTTTAAACACAAAAAAAAGGCCCAGAACCACATAACATTTGATTGATCTTAATATAAATGCTTCAGGCAACATGTCTGAGATGTGATGCTGAAGTAATTCCATTGTAAACTACTAATTTTTATTTGGAAGTAATTTCAATGAGAGATGGACTTTGAAAAGAGGAATGACTGCCTGTGCTAGCAAGCCATAGGGTTCCTAGGGTTCTTGCTCCTGTCCTCCAGTTATGAGAATCCTACCTTGTCTTAATCTATTCAAGCAGGAAACATCTAAATCTTCTTGTCAAAGATAAGTCACTTCAGCACCACTCTAAGGAAAAAAAAGTTTAAAAATGTGAAAATAGCAGGAATGGAAATTTCATTTTCTTGCTAAAATATATATCCAAATGTTCAGCCTCTCTAAACAACAATAGATGATTATTTGGAAAATGGGAGAAAAAGAAATATTAAGGGAAAGCAACAGTCCACACTTACAGAAAGGTTTCCAAGCAAACACATTAAAACTGGTCCCATGATTCTCAGGAACTTATTATTTATGTTTTATTGAAACCAGCAAGGCAATCAATGTTTAAGACAAAATGGTGAGGCTACCATTTATATCTTCTTCTGTCCCAGATCTGTGGGAGAGTCTTTGCACTCTTGCAGGGTTCAGTTCGTTCTTTTAAATCAGAGATTGATAGGGAAGATGAAGAATCTACTATATGTCTAGAGAAGATTTCAAATGATGCAAATTTCTTTCCAAATCTGAGAGATAGTCACAGACAGTTTATAAAATAGTAGCAAAATATACAAAACCCTTTTTTCTTTAAGTGGGAATGGAATTACTGATCATGTCATGTGTTAGGAATAACATAGGTTACCTAACGTAGTTTGGGTAAAATAATATATATAAACTATGATAGTGAATTTAAGTGTGTGTCACTTTAACTGTAAAGCATGTAATTTGGGGTGCAGCTGTAAATCGCCATAAGAGGGAGCAGAGAACTTGATTGATTGCTGGCTTACTGGATTGCTTGCTGACGATGATGGATTGATGGTTTGATAACTGCGTGTTCTCTGCTGTTGCTGAAGGAAGAAAAGGAGGTTTAACTTCTTCATATCTCTAACTGCAAAGAGATATATTACAGGACTGATATTTGTAAGTTTACTGACCTCTTTTTCGACACTGGACTTTGCAACTGATTAATCCCCGGACGGACTGTGACTAAGTGTATGATATATGGACTGTTTGACTACGCTATAAATCTTACTGGAATAAACTATTTAACTAGCACATTGTATCTGTTTTACTGAGTGTAAGCTACAAAAACGTTTATCTCACATATTTGCCTGCCTGCCTGACTGCCGTGCAGGTTCTGCTAGGGTGTATATCCCTAACACTGGTTATGGGCCCAGCTGCACAGTCAGACTAACCAGGATATAACAGGCTTATATAAAGTGAGAGTTTGTGTAGTTACACAATACTGTAAACAGACAGCTGTGTTTTATTAATTATAGTTTAATATCCAGAAAAAGATGGCACAAGTCAATTTACAAAGTTTGTCTCTAATATCCAAACTGGATGGAACAAACTATGTTTCATGGTCTATGAAATGCAGCCTACTTCTACGCAGAGAAGGTTTGTGGAGTATAATTCAAAACCCACCAGAGGTAGATGCATGGGATCCGGAAGATGAGGATGATGCCCAGAAAATACAAGAATATAAACTGAAGAATGAGCAAGCTCTCTGTATAATAGGACTGACTCTCTGTGACCAGCAGCTTGTCCATATTCGTGGAGAAGAAACAGCTGCGAAATGTTGGGAGAATTTAAAGAAGATTTATGTTCGAGACAGTGTAGGAGCACATATAAATCTTACACGGAAACTGTTCAGAACACATCTTCAAAAGAATGGAGACATGTTGACTCATATAAACACAATGAAGAGAATTTTTCAGGAACTGCATGAAAAAGAACTTATCTTCACAGAACTCCATCAGGTTTATATAATTTTGTCTTCGTTAGATGAGAGCTATGACGACTATGTAACTTCACTGGAAGTACTGCCAAAAGATAACCTCACATTAACTGACATTACTGGCAGATTAATTGAAGAAGCCAAGAGAGGGCTTGAAAGGGATCAACTCAGAAGGGAACAACCAAAAAAAGAAGATAAAGAATCTACGACAGCCTATACAATTAGAAAATGTTTTAATTGTGGAGGAAAAGGACATTTGGCTAGATTCTGCAAGAAAGAAAAACGCAACAATGCCAGCCAGAATGCTAAAAGGCATCAAAAGGATGAAAAATGCTTAGCCATGTATAGCAACGAAACTGTGAATAATAATTTATGGGTTGTAGATAGTGGAGCATCGCACTGCATAACGAAAGATAAGAAAAGATTTGTTAAGATGTCCACGAGTTCACAGCAGATATCGTTAGCTAATGGCTGGAAAATAAAAGCAAAAGGTGAAGGTATTGCACATTGTTTTTGCATAAAAGAAAATGTAAGAATGTTATATGTACCACAACTTAAGTTTAATTTGCTTTCGGTTAGAATTTTGGTTAAACTAGGTTATGTAGTTACCTTTAAAGGAGAAAACTGCATAATAGAAAAAGAAGGTAAAAAAGTGACTGCAACTTTAAAAGGTGAATTGTATGTGTTAAATGATAATTCATTAGAGGTAGCTAACACAGTTTATAATAATGTTAAACCTCATGATGAATGCATACATTTGTTACACAGACGTTTAGGGCATATAAATTTTAAAATGCTCAAACAAACGGTTGAACTGTCTGAAGGTATAAAACTAAAGCCTTGCAGTAAGTATTTGCACTGCAATGCTTGCAGTCAAGAAAAAAGCAAGGTAATACCAGCAAATAGAATAAATGGATTTAAAACAAAGGAACCTCTAGAGGTCGTATTTGCTGATATTATAGGTCCTAAAAAACCAAGTGTGGGAGGTGCTCGTTATATATTAAGTATAATGGATCATTATTCTAGATATGGTTTCTGTTATTTAATGAAGAGTAAAACGGAAACATATCAGAATTTCTTTAATTGGTTGAAGTTTGCAGAAAGAAAAACTAAAAGGAAACTAGTAACTCTTGTAACTGATAATGGTACGGAATTTATAAACAATATATTCCAAAATAGACTGAAGATGGCAGGTGTTGAACATAAAAAGTCTGCACCATATAGGCCACAACATAATTCCTTTATAGAAAGACGAGGCCAAACAATACAGGCAATGGCTCGTACTATGTTGTCGGATTCAGGATTACCTGAAACTTTGTGGGGAGAAGCAATAATGTGTGGTAATCATATATTGAATAATGTTGTTAACTCAACAACAGGTGAATTACCATTCACACGGCATGGTAGAAAACCTGACCTAAGCTACATGCACACATTTGGAGCACCAGCATGGGTGCATATTCCTACACAACTGAGACACAAGGGTCAGCATAGGGCTAAAAAGTTATTCGTTGTAGGTTATGAATCTAATAACAAATCATACAGATTCTGGGAAAAAGGTACACCTAGAGTTTACTGTAGTGCTAGTGCAAAATTCCTTGAACATGTAGGATGGGAAAAACTGGAACAAGATTCAAGTAAGGAAGTAATTATAGAAACCTACAAAAGACCAAAATCACATATCAGTAATAAGAAGAGTACAATTAAAGAGGAAGTACAGGAAGAGCACATAGGACCAGAAGAGGAAGAAATAGATGAACAGGAAGAAATAGATAACCAGGAACAGGTAGTACATGAAAGTCCACCTGTAAGCCCTGTAATACCTAGACGGTCAACACGTGAAACCAGACCACCTGATAGGTATCAGGCAAGTGTAGTTTGCCAAGTTAGTAAAGTTCCAACTACTGTTGAAGAACTTAGAATGTATCCAGAAAAGGAACAAGAAAATTGGCAAAGAGCAATGGAGAAAGAATTAAATTCATTAAAACAAATGGAAGTATATGAAAATGTTAAATTACCTCCAGGAGAAAAGTCCATTGGCTGTAAATGGATATTTAAATTAAAAACAGGTAAAAATGGGACTGTTACCCATAAGGCTAGGTTGGTAGCTCAAGGATTTAATCAAACTGCATGTGATTATGATGAAGTATTTGCACCTAGTCTAAAAGCAACAACCTTGAGAGCAGCTTTAGTGTGGGCAGCTAAGAAGAATTATATTATAAATCACTTAGATGTAGAAACTGCCTATCTGCTTGCACCATTGCAGCACACTATATACCTAAAGAAACCTGTAGGAATTAAGGATGATAAAACTAATAATGACTGTTGGAAGCTGAAAAAGAGTCTCTATGGATTAAAACAATCTGGTTACGAATGGAACCAATATATTGTTAAGGAGTTAAACAATATAGGGTTTAAAGCAGGTTTAGCTGATCCATGTGTATTTAAGAGAGAGAAAAATGGAATAGTGTCATTATTGTTGTTTACAGATGATATTGCTTTAATTACAAAAACTAATAATGAAGCTACTGAAATAATATCATTATTAGGTAAGAGGATAAAATTAAAGCAATTAGGAGAGATAAAACAGTATCTAGGATTGACAATAAATAAAACCAAAAGTGGCTATAAGATATCTCAAGAGGATAAGATTTATCAATTACTAAAAACATACAAGATGGAACTTTGTAAGCCGGCTAAAACTCCAATGAGTCAGGAATTTGGCCACACTGAAGCTCAAAGTCCAAAATTCGATAAGACTATTTATCAATCACTAATTGGTAGTTTATCGTATATTAGTAATTGGTCAAGGCCAGATATTGCTTATGGCGTTA